TTTCTTTTGACAGGGTCTCATGTGAACCAGACAGGACTCCAACTCCCTGTACAGTCGGTCGGTGATGATCTTGAACTTCTGATTGTCTTGCGTCCATGTTCAGAGTGCTGGGGTTACAGGCACGTGCCACCACCATGCTTCAATTATTTAGGTCTGAGGATGTAACCCTGGGCCCGGGGTTCCTGTGTGCTAGGCAAGCCCTCTTCCAGCTGAACCACATTCTCAGATGTTTCCTTTCCTTTTTTAAAAATAATTTTACTTGTTTATTTGTATGTGTATGTGTGCTTTGCCTGCATGCATGTCTGTGTATCATGTGCACACCTGGTGCCCAAGGAGCCCAAAAGAGGATGTCAAATCCCCTGAAACTGGACTCCTGGTCCTCTGAAAGAGCAACCTGTGCTCTTAACCATCTTAGGCCATCTCTCCAAGTCTCTTTTCTCCTTTTTGTTTTTTGTTTGTTTTTCAAGACAGGGTTTCTCTGTGTAGTCCTGGCTGTCCCAGAACTCACTCTGTAGTTCAGGCTGGCCTTGAACTCACAGAGATCCGCCTGTCTCTGCTTCCCGAGTGCTGGGACTGAAGGCTTGTGCCACCATTGCTGGGCCCTTCTTTCCCTTTTTAAAGAGAAGTTGTTGAGACAATAAATAGTTGGACACAGGCAGTAAGTGGCAGAAGTATATCCTTTCTCTGGTCTTTCTATTCCAAATGCTGCCTTCTTCCCAAGATTTTCTAGGTGGCCTCTCAGAACCCAGATGTTTAACTGCCCACTCTCCACCCACGTCCAGACAGAATCTTGTGTATGGGAAGGCGCTGAAGCTCTGTCCAAAGCCACCCCTGATGTCATCACTATGCAGATTCCGTGTCATTCAAAAACCCAGACTCCTGACTCCATAACCCCAGAGGCCGATAGGAGTCCAAGCCTGCAACATCAGGCAGCCACTGAGCACAGGGGCTTCCATTCCTAGTCCCCAAGCCTGGTTCAAAGTTGACTGCCGGCTTTCTCCATCCTAAGAGGCGCCTCCTCATCTGGACACACTCTATGGACCATCCTCCTTCCTTTCCAGGGAGGCTCTTCCCAAGCCCAATGCCCGGACTCCCTCACCCCTTTCCAGGTCCTGCTCTCCTTAATAGCCTTCCTCGGGCCTCAGAGTCCCTCACAGCAGTGAGAAGCAGAGTGAGAGGCAATGCTGGGCCCAAGAGGTAGCAGCTATGAGCAGCTCACACTACACCCTCTTCAATAATTCATTCTCCAGCAGACTGCAGGCACCATGCCCTCGTTCTGAGCCAGAGATGGCTGCTGCAGCTCAGAGCCTTCTGTGGGGTGGGACAGGGAAGCTAACAGCAGCAGAGATCTGGAAGACAGAGAGGGTGCCCAGCCTCCGAGTCCATGTTGCACAAGGCCCACTAGTCCCTGTGAAAGGCTTTCAATTTGGGCTGATGTCAGGGAGCCAGGCAGACAAAGTCACCTTGCTGGGGGAAGGTGCAAGCCAGAAGGGTCTACGCCCGGCTCCCTGGAGTGCCTACACAGGGTCAACCCCGTGCCCTGGCCGAGCCTTTGTCGGCTACCTTCCTAATGGACGTCCACACCCCTCTGTCCCCTGACAGGCCTTAGTATCCCTACTTCAGGAGTTCTACTCTGCTGGAACTGTAATCTTAGTTAATAGCCCTGAACCTCTTCTTGGGTTTGCCATTTCACCCCCACTTCTCCAACCCCAGCCTCGCTGGCTAACCACCACTGGTGTTTATGTAGACTGTGGGGGTGGAGGACCCGAACTGACCCTGTGGATGGCAAGGGGATTCAGAATACTAAATATCAAGAATGTGCCAAGCAATTCTCTGTCTGCAGCAAGGAGGAATGGTGGTAAGATCTAACCCATGTTAGGGATGTGGCTTTCCCGGTGTCCCAGCTCCGTCACCAGGGACAGCCTGAATTCTACTCATGCGCTAGTCCTGTTCTTCCTGAAATCCACTCTTTGCAATTGGTCACCTAATGCATGCAATGGCGTTAGAGGGGAAACTGAGATCAAAGACTAAAACAGACATTTACAGAGCTGAGCCAGACACTCAGGCTTGGAGTCGAGCATCTCTGGCTACTCACACTTCAAGCGAAGAAGGTTTTCCCCAAATATACAAAAGTGGGCAAGAGTTGGGTCTGGAAGCCATAGCTACTCCTCATTCCCTCTCGGGGCCTGGTTTCTGGAGGGAGGGCGTGATCGCTGTAGGCACCGTCAGCAAGAAACTCTTCTGATATATTTATAGCAAATGCTGCATCAGGGGATGGAGCCTGAAAGTGCCTCAAAGCATCAAATAACTCTATAGGCCCTGAGGAGGAGCCCAGCGAAGAATACTGATTGCAGCATGAGAGGCTGAGGTTTGATGTCGCAGGAACTTCCCCAGAGTAAGATATAGAGCTGACAGTGGGAATTCCCTGTAGAAGTCACTTTCACATAATTTTCTCAGGATTCGGCATCTGTTTTGGTCTAGTAAGTACGAAATAATGGATGTGGTGGGCCACTGATTCTGTCCTGATAATGCCCAGACTTCCAAACACCAGGGCCGTTCACTAAGTTGTCCAGATTACACCATTCTGGAGAGGTAAGTGGAGCTGAACAGCCCATTTCTACATCAGCAGGGCAGACTAGCCAGGATGGTTGACAGGGACCCTGCCCAGCATCCTCGATCCTGACAGGGTGAGCTGATGAAGCCTGTAGGGGCTCTGTGTAGGAACCTAGGGCTTGCACAGATCTGCACGGCCAAGCTGGGGTAACTTGCCCAGAGACTCAAATCGCAGGTGCAGAGCAGGAACCTAAAAGACCTTAAGTGGGGAGGTAGAGAGTATGTGACCTGCCAGTCACCTCACCGGGAGGATCCCTAATCCAGTTCCAATGCTTACCTTCTTGGCATAGCAGAGACCAGGTATGTGCTTCAGCTACCACAGCCTGGGTGAAAATGAACAAACAGGGGATGTGGGCTGCCCCTGGGCATCTCAGATTCCCTCCGATAAACTCAGAGAATTGATATTTATGTTTTAAAGATGTGGCCATGGCTTCAGGGGTGTAGGTTCAGGCAGAGGAGGAGGGAAGCCAGGCACAATTGCTTCTCCTGTGAAAACCGAAGCGCCCCAAGGCCCAGAGGAGCTAGTCCATTAGCTGTGGTCAGCAGGGGAGGCAAGGAGGGAGGGAAATGAGAGGTTGGGGGGAGGGGGTGGGGGAGGGGAAGGTACTTCTCTCCCTCCAGGTCTTATTGCCTAAGCAAAACTTTAGTTCTCTCCATTCCAACCCCCAACAAAAATAAAATGAAAAGAATGAATACCCTCCTACCCCTCCCTCCTCAAACCTCTTCTGCAGGGTTGAAGCAGAGTAAGTTGGGGTGGCCACAATCTGTGGCAGGAACAGACCACAGAGGAAGGGGAGGCGGTGGCCTCGCCAGGCACTTTCCAGGTTAAAGCCAGCCCAAGAGGAACCGCGAATGGAGTGCCCTGAGAATGGGAGCTCTTCCCCCGTAGCTGTCTGGGATGGGCCCAGAGGACAGTCAACTGAGCAGAGAGGGAGATACAGTCTCTGGAGATCCTCAGAGAATAGGAAGGTGGAGGGGAGGGGTCCTGAGCCCCCTCCATCCCAGAAAGTGGGTTTGAAGAAGGGCTGAGAAATGGAGTTTTCCAGCTGATGTTATGGTGAACTTGGAGATCCACCCAGGTCATTAAGGTCTCAGTTTTGTCTCCGTGAAGGGGTTTGCTCCCACCCGCCCCAGGCCCAGGCGCAGCCACTATCTTAAGAATAGGAAGGGTCCAGTATCGAAGGACCAATGAGAGGTTGGTCCGCTTAGAAGGGTGTAGGAAGCAAGCGAATTGGGAATTACACCTTCGCTCCCGCCCTCCCCCGCCCTCCCCCCGCCAGAACTTGGGCTTGTCCGCTTTGACGTGCCCGCCGGAGGGGACGAGAAGGGGTACTGACCCGAGAAGCGGTCCTGCGACTTTGTGCTCTCTGCTGCCCAGACTGAGCTGGGATGCTGCCCGGCTTGCCTGGGCTCCCCCTGAGACCAGGATGGAGGTAAGAGCAGTCTGGGGCTTTGGAGGGGTCACGAGTGTCTCAAAGGAACCCCATAGGGGTGGGGACAGAGTGCAGCTTGGGGTTCTCTCCTGGGGGTTCTGGAGATAGGATGTGGCTCCAGGAGGGGATGTGGCTCCTGGAGAGGGGGAAAGGCTTCAACTGGGTCTAGATACAGGCTGCGCCCTCTGCGCCAGCGCCTCCTGCTGGCAGGAGACAGCACGTGCGGTGGGTGCCGCCACCTGGAGGGCGGGTGCGGACACCCGGGCATCGAACCTAGGGGGCGCTACGAAGCAGCCGCCTCACCTCGCCTTGACCTTCCCTTTGGCGGATCTGAGACCGGTAGCAGCATTAACTGACACAGGAGGCGTCCCTGCTAGGCTGTCTCCCTAAGAATTCTGCAGAAGTCACAGGGTCGGGACCTGGAAAGGGAGGATGGACGTGGCTTCCTCGAATTCTGAGGGGCGTCTTGAGGCTTAGGCAAGCGAACTGAACACCAGCACTCTTCCTTCTCGGGCTGTTACCCGGCTGAGGTGGGGATGCAGTAGGGCCTTTCTTCCTGGGGTGCAGGGCGGATTGAGGGGTGGGATCCGAGCTGGGGCCTGGAGGGAGCCGAACCTCCCCCTTAATGCTCTGGTGCCTTGCCTGTCTTTGAACCTTTCCCGCCCTCTGCTTGCGGTGGCAGAGCTCCACAGACCATGCCCTTTCTGGAAACCCGGTGGAGGGGGAGGGGGAAGCGAGGTGAGGCTAGAAGGGCGGTGAGAGACACCAGATGAATAGAAAAACGGGGTGGTAGAGAGGGAAGACTAAAGTGGGGAGGGACTGGACTGAAAGGCAAGGGAGTGAAAGAAAGATTGAAGGAGGAGGCTAGAAAGGAAGGGGGGGAGGAAAAGGGGTGGAACCAGCAGCTAGGAGAGGGAGCGGGCGACTGGAGCTGGGCGGGCGTGGGGCGAGGCCAGGCGTGCAGACTGGAGCAGTGTGCAGAGCCGCGGCTGGGTCCTGCTCCCGCCTCGGAGCCCCTGGCCCGGGGGAGGGGGAGAGGCCACTAGCCCGGTCTATGTCTTTTTCTGACTCCAGTGCAACCTTCCTGCTGAACGAGGTAACCGCTGGGGCCCCCTCCCCAGAGGGGTGGGAGAAAAGCTCCGGCATTTGGGAGAAACTGCAGCACGAAGAGGGAGGGAAAACAGGAGGCGAGACCTCTGGGGGAGAGAGAAAGGGAAGGTTGGAACTGGCGGCTCCTCCAAAATGTGCAGTCAGGGCTGATGGGGAGCCAGGAAAGGGGCTAGATTGGAAGGAGGGCTGTGCCAAGCTCCCTCTGTGACCCTCTTTGAGTTCCTTGGGGGGAGGGAGCAACCTAATAGCTGGAATGCTAGGGGCCTCCCTCTGGTGTAGAATTCCCAGCTCCTGCCTCAGTTTCCCCACTTGGTGCCTAGGAATTGGGATCTGCCCAGCTTCCTGGCACGCTTTGGGCTTTCCTCCCCAGTCCTGCTGCCGTAGCTAGATTAGCATGGTAACTGAACTAGGTAGGTGTGACTGTAGTGAGAAATGAAGGGGGCACTGGTTAGCAATCAGAGGTACAGGTGGAGGCAGGAAGACCAAGTGCCTGCAGGACCCAGGGGATGCCTGTAGGTATGGAGAACTTGAACCCCTCTCCTGGGGAGGAGGTTGGCATGGCAACGGATCTCTCGGGGGCAGACTTAAGACACCAGTTGTCCCAGCTGGGAATGAAGACAACAAGATGTGAGGATGGGGTGCTGCTAATAGCAAATCCACAGCTACCTACAGTCCCAGGACCCTCTACGAGTGGAGAGTCCTAAAATGAGAGGCCAGGAAAGGAGTTTCTAGATAGGAACTATCTCCCAGGAGACTGGAGGGGCTTACTCTTTGATACCTACCTCTCCACCCTCTGGAAGGAGGGGACTAAAGAGACAACGGAAAAGGAAGGCACAGGTGGTGCTTAGGGACACCGAATATAATATTTTACTAACCCCTACACATGCAGGATTCCAGCTGTGAATTTTGGCTGTCGACCCCAGGCTCAGCTGCTGCCCTCAGTAGCAAGGGTTGGAATAAAGTCCTTCTATCAGAAGGAGACAGACTAGGGTGTCATAAGATGAGCCGCCCCCCCCCCCCCGTGTCTTTTTCTTGCCAAGGAAACAGGAAGATGAGACATAGGTGAGAAAACAGTTGGCTTGGGTGGTCTTCCTCTCCCATACACACTACCTTCTAATAGATCTCATTAACCCTTGCAAATTGTGGCTTTCTGATTTTCCTGTAGACCAGCAAAGGAAAGGATAGGCAAAGTCCTGGACTGGGATTGAGGAACTAGCAATGGAAAGGAACTGGGCTGAGGGGGCAAGACACCAGGCCTGGCTGATCTCTCCCTTTAGGTTCACCTAAAACAGCCCCTTTCTGCCCGAGTTCCCACGGATGCCGTGGCAATGTCTGTCACAATCCTTGGCAGGGAAGTGAGGAAGAGAATCTCCATCCTGGCTTAAGTTGGATGAAATCTGCCCGTGCAACAGGTGTGGGTGTGGGGAGGCCTAGCCAGACTACCCGAACTTCCCCCTTTCAAGGATCGGTCCTTTGCTGCAGCCACGCACCTGTTTGGGACAGGAGCTGCTTTCATGGCACCGGTCTAGGATCTCCAAACCATTCCTCTTCAGTACCATTGTGGGGTTTGCTTTGGGAGTCTCCTGGACGTGCAGGGAGCCGACACGGCACTATCACCTGAGACCTATCCCCATCCGTTGCCCGCCCCCCTATAGCTCTCCATTTTCCTGTCTTGCGCGTCCTTTCTGCCTCCAGCCCTCCTCTCTCTCCATCCAGCCTCCCCGGCGTCCGCACCCTCTCGATTCTTCGCAGGGGTCGCGTCTTGAAGCAGCGTCTCGCCCCTTCCCCTCCCCCGCGCCAGCCCTTTGTTTCCCGGCGGAGCAGTTCCTGGGTTGCGAGAGTCCCTGTCTCCGCATCTCTCCTCGCCCCGCCTCCTCCCTGCCGGGATCCGCCCCGCCTGCAGCCTCTCCGCCCTCCTTCCCTGTCGCCCCGGCCCCAGAGGTGCCGGGGACCCA